TATATATATATATGTTTATGTTTTTATATATACAACGGAAAGGGAGTGAAGGTGATAAATGGGCTTTTAGGCCCAATAAGCAAGGAGAGACATGAGCCCAGAACCGAGGAGGAGAGAGATATGGGCCATGATTTGAAGCCCAGAATTGGATTGCAATTTGGGGTGCATGAAATCTGGTGCGAGAAGGTCCACCAGAGACATGTAGATGAGGATGCCCGATGAGGCAGCGTTCAGGACACCTTGAACGATCAGAGCCGTTGAACTCGATTCATCGTATCTGCTCGAGATTTCCATCCCGACACCTATTCCGACCGGTGTCGTCACCGAGAAGAACAGTGTCATTATCGTAATTGTCATACAATTGAATTTCCCCTGCAATTTTTATTTACATATGTTTTAATCGAAAATATTATAGAATACGTATTTATATATTCAAATGTGTGAGAGGTAAACCTGAGTGATGCAGCCACCGAGGCCAAGACCTTCAAAGCATTGGTGAAACATTAAGGCAGTGAACAAAGCTCTAACATTGTCTGGATCTTGTGATGCTCCAAGTGCTATTCCTATCACTACCGAGTGTACTATTATCCCCAACTCCAACACCTGTATATATATAGTCAGAAATATCATAATATTTACGAACCATATATTTGATAATTATAAATTGAAACAATATCTAATCAGAAATTTCGATCGTGGGTTAATTATAGTTGGATCTCTTGAGCATTCATATGTTACAATAAGTCATTATTCTCGTGACATGTGCATTAAAATTCGGCCATGAGGCTCGTGTGACAAAAAAAAAAAAAACTCTCCAAACGATAATATCTGATGACCTGTGCGATGACTCGGCTGCGGAGGAGCTGAGTTTTGGACTCCACCGCCGTCAGGCCGCCGTGGGAGTGGCCGTGTATCCCGAGCTCTTCTCCGTCGCTGATCTTCTGATTCTTGGAATGCGATCTCTGGAAGTAGGAAGTGGCGAATGAGTCGATAGATAGAGTCAAGATCGCGGCGACCATGGCGATGAATCCGGTGAACGGAAACTTCCATGGATGGTCGCTCAGACAAGGTGACCTCAGCTTCCCGAAGGCCTCCGGCAAGACGTGGAGGAATCCGGTGGAGAGGATGACGCCGGCGGCGAAGGCCCTCGTGACGAAGAAGAATGACGTCTCGGGACGCAGCGGCGGGAAAACGCTGCCCAGCAAAGGGAAGAGGACTCCGATTATTCCGGCGACGAGGACGGAGGGTATGGCGGCGAGCTTGTATTTCCGGGCACCGGATTTTTTCTCTCCGTCGTGGTCATGCGAGCATTTGCATCGATCTTCTCCGGCGGCGACGGCGGCGATGAAGAGGAGGGAGAGGATGATGAAGAAGAGGAGCTTTAGCTTTTGCATGGTTTCTTTTGGTAAAAAAAAAGTGTAAACTCTGTTCTTATTTATGGTTCTTGATTTAGGGTTTATGGAGAAACCAAAAAAAAAAAACAGAGGAGAAGAAACGATGATAAGAAAAATGTGTGTTGCAGGATTCGAAATATATAACTCTGGTTGCGGGGTTTGTTATTTGATCGTGATTTCATATTACGTAGACGTGTGTGCTCCGTCGTGTATACAACAATTCGGATATTATATATACATATACATATATATATATATATATATATATCGATAAGCATATGGATTAGGAATGGTTATCATAAAAAATGAAATAAAACCATATGGATTATATTATAATAATTGGTGATGCATTGGATAACCGTGTCAATATTGTTTTAAAGAGTTAAAGAAATAGAATTGTCCCGACATGTTGCCACGTGTACCCGCAAGATTTTCCCGCGCAGCTAACTAACCAATCAATTAATTAATTAACTGAATTTTGTATAGTGGAGAATTTATCTTTCCCAAGAGGCATGGCGAAAGAATGTCGACATAAAATGTACGGTACGATCTGAAGAAGTTCTTCTTCTAAAAAGAGAGTTTAAACATGTGAAGTCAACTCCTAAAAATGTCGATATTATGACTTAACTAATACCAATTTTATTTGATTTTCTCTCTCTTCGATATTTTTATTTTTATGGACTATTATATACGAATCTCACTTTTTAAATTACACGTTGCATGATATCATCTCCTCGTAACTATTTAATATAATTCTCGTTTTTTTTTTTGCATAAGAATTTTTATACAACATATATATATATATATGAAGTAAGGAGCCGATTTCGAGCGGCCGTGGAGGAGATCAATGCGCAACGCGCACACAAACACACACTTTGCACAATTTAAATTAAAGTAATAAATTGGAGAAAATGTTAAAAACACACGCCGAAAATGAAACGTATCCTTGAGGAGAAAAAAGTGATATATTATTTTATTATCAACCAGAACAAAATTGCATCGAATGTTTCAACTAGTAACCTAGGTTCGGATCTCTATTTGGGAGAAAATATTTTTTTATTTTTATTTTTTGATAATCGGGTGATCTCAGGTCCAAAGACCCAGACTAATCCAAACCCACACACACGACTCTGCAACACACATGTGAGATGTGAAACACCCGAAGGTGACAGGAAGGGAATCTCCATACTCTGGATGTTGAATCCACGACTTCTTTTACAGAAAGGGGGCTCTCAAACCAACAGAGGTGGGGATTCCCCGGGAGAAAATATTTATCTAAAACTTTTTTTAATCATTTGAAGGATGTAGTTAATACAAAGACCCGTTACATTTTAGATTATATAAAAAAAACGGAGAAAATAAATAGATTCTGTACCAAAAGGAAAAAAGATAATGCCACCGTATATGTAAAGATAATTAATTTTCTAATATATATATATATATACAACGTTAAAGAGAGGCATATAAAAATTTCCAGCCACACGGAATAAATAAGTTTGGATGATTGGAACATATCTGATTTAACATGTGTCGAAGACTTTGCATTGACCACACCGAAATCTCTCCGTCTTTTTTTTGTTCTGTCACGTTACATCTTTATGATAAACCTTAGACATAACATTTATTGAGTGTATTTATTTAAAAAAAAACATTTATTGAGTGTGTGTCAAACCATGGATTCTCTTGAGCACCACAGATAAGCTAAAAAAAAAAAAAATATCTTATCCTTACAAAAAGCATTAGGACGTGGAATAAACAGAAATCGAATATTGGAATAGTTTGATACCAACAAAAGTTCCAAAACAAAAGGAACTTATCAACATATCAAAATCGAACGAATCAAGAAGCATTGAGGACCATTGGTAGTCAAGGATCAGACAAGAGTTGATAAATTACCCAAAAAAAAAAAAAGTTCCTACGAAAACAAGTTGCGAGAGTGTGGGGGCAAAATGCGACAGACGACGTTTTATGGGCCTCGAAGCAATGAGACAAAGACCAAAAAGTCTTCTCAGCTTTGTATGGTACATAGTTTCTATCAACTGAAATATTTGACTCTTTGTAATATACTTTCATCCATAATTTTATACCCTTCAGCCAAATGATTATATATATATATGTATGTATGTATATATATATACACGTATGGAAAAACAAAACCATCAGAGAAAAAAACAAACACAAATTTAATTAATTTTTAAAAAAAGGAAATGAAAAGAAGTTCGCAAAAAAGTGCACATACAAACACCAACCACTTCACTTCACTTCCTGAAAGCAGCAGAAACACCAAAAGCATACACACATACGATGACCACTTTTCATTGTAATGCATATCCTCCCATCACTTCTTTTGTTTTTTTTTTCCAAAGATAACTTCGCTCTCTCTATGTGTGAGTGTTGGAATTTTTCTCTTTTACTTTTTCCCCTTTGCATCCTTCTCCTCTTTCTCTTCTTCCTCCTCTTCGTCCTCATCATCATCATAGTATTCTTCTTCTTCTTCTTCGTCGGTATCGATGTCATGGTCGAAGTACTCTTCGTAGAACTGATCGTCAGTGCCATCATCATCATCCCTCGTCTTACCGTTTTCTAGAAACCCTTCCGACTGCTGCTTCCTTAGCCGCTCCTGGATGCGGTCCCTGATTGCCGGTCCCTACACACAGATATCCATTTTTCATGTTATCCAACCTAAAGCAGATACATCATACATATTTGTCATGAATCTTTGCTTACCATCTTGTGACAACCCTCTTCAAACATTTCAAGAAATCCAGCAACCCACCTATCTGCATTCTCCACCCACTCGTTGCGGAGCATTTTAACAGTTTGGATCTGCAATCGAAATCGAGAAGAGCACACAGATATATTAGAGGATTGGTCTGGCTATTAAGATGGATATTGTACATCCTGGTCATCAGGCATTCAAAAACTCAGCTCGAACATGAACTACCTGAATGCATTTACCTAATGTAAATTTACACATACGTGGTCTATGATCCACACAAGAGGACACGAACCAGATTCAGAGAAAATAACAGTCACCACTGCATGAGTATTGCTAGAGGCCGAAGAGGTATCACATTGAGAGCAATTCAATATGGCCACTATATTCCAAATAATTCATAGGTCATAAAATATGGTACACCATAAAATTCATTTATAAATTCCATTTGGTCATCCTCTGAAGATCCCAAATGTCAGTTCAGAGAATGCATTATCAGCCGTAGCTCAGAGATTTCTGCAGCCGGTGGAGTTAGCACGACTGACTATTGTATTGTTGAGGGGGAAACGAAGAGCCACTAAGTAAGGAGAATGCCAAAATTAAGTTCAATCACCATGCATCCAAAAATATTTGGCAGAAAAAAAGCACAGGAAAGTGTATCTAGTTCCGCTAAATTCAAAATAACCACACAATAGTCAGTTAAGCAGAGTAAAAGTGAGTAAAGACATACCTTTTCCCCTACTTTTTCTTGATGTTCCTTGACCTTCTCTTGAAGTTTCTTTAGCCTCATATTGACTCTGAGTCTCTTTTCCTGTTGCAATTCAACAAATAAATAAATAATTTCTCAAAAGCGAAAGTATACATAACATAGAAGAACAAGCCAAGAAATAATGATCATGCCTTCACAAAGCTAACCCCAAGATCTTCCCTCGAATACCCCCGATCCAGATTTCGCATGACATACTGATTATAGTCTTTCACAATTCTCATTATTATATCTGAGGTAGATATCCCTTCAGTTCGCTTTGTTTCCTTAAACTTCCCAACTTTCTTAACCTGCAATGGATGTTCCATTGAATCAGAGGGAGAATATTAAGCAGAATGGCCAGAGAAACCAGAATGTGACCATTCACTTGGGACTCACGAATTCATAGACATCCTTTCCAGCTCCACTGGTATCTGCATACCTGTGGATATTATACAATCAAAGGTTACTGGAAGTCTACTAGAATCGCCCGTATAGGAAGAGGATACGAAACAAGATTGTAGTAAAAGATGAAAAAGACATTGCCCTCCCAAACAGATATTTCCTAAATTTCTATGACAAAAGAAATATGTTCTTACGGAAGAGAATCATGGGCCACATAGTCGATCCGGTGCTTGTCAAGAAACTCTTGATTAATCACCCAAGGCGCATCAGGGATAACTTCATCCACCCACCTGCATGATTAAAAGGAAAAAAAACCAAATCATTAACGATTGTCATCAGTGATACTAAGGCATAAAAAGGTGATTAAACTCTTGGAAGGAGAATGTTACTTGCAATGCCGAAGCGATTCATATCGCTCCTTTTCATTCATTACGGTCTTGCCCTTGTACCTGTGGGTGGTTTCATCATTGCAACATCCGACAAGAAGGTAGGTATTCGGAAACCTGCTTGATAAATAAGAGACGACATGAAACAAGAGTGCATGCACAATGTAAGAACATTGAACCACTCTATTTCTTGCAGCAGTTCTATTTACTTCGTCATAAAAAGAATCAAAATCGACAAGCAACAACCATTTCTTATTGCAATGTTCAACAAGGGATGCAATTGCAGGAAAAAGTGCCGCTAAAATCATGGCCGGACACAACAGATACAGAATAGAGACATATATGAACAAATCGAACACCAGAGACAGAAATTACGAAAACTTTCTACACAGGGGGGAAAGGGAGACAGAGATACTGACGATTTCTTGGCTTGTTCAAGAGATCGAGCATGACCGAAGTGGAAGAGATCATAGATCCCATCGGCGTAGACGCGGACGGGGCGATCAGACGGAGGCGGAGCGATCTCGGCAACCGGCGCGACGGAGGAGACACCGTCTTCATTGGAATCTACGGCGATGCTGCTCATAATCTCCGACAGACTCGACGAACGGGATTACTACGAAAGATCCCGAAGTTTCTCTTATTGTATCTCCCCCCGTCGTTTCGTGAATAGTCGCCTCCCCTTCTCTCTTCTCCGAATATCCGTTTTTTAATGTAAGGGGGGGAAATTATTTTATTAATTGTAATTTACTTTAATCTTCCTCCGCATCACATGTTTTTTTAAATTAATTTGGCGTAATTACAAGTCGAAAGGGTGGACAATTTACTTGAGTTGAGACAGTAAACTGAAAATAAAAAATCGAATACGAATTCACACGTCATCCGTATAATTATCACACTTCTCGTGAATGGGCCTCAAGGCCCATATTACAGCCCAATAGGTGAAACTAATTCACGTCATCCGTATATAACGGGAAATGTGTAACCATTGATCTCCCGTCCATGGAACTCTGACACCATTTAACCAAAAAAAAAACAAAACTCTGAAACCGTAAAGAATCCACCGACTGTCCAGACAGAGAACAAAATCATAAAAAATCAGATAATTTTTATAAAAAATAAACCGAAAACGAAACAAAGCACAACGGGAAGATTCATGATTGAATGCGTACCATACCTGGCAAAGTAATTCCTCCGACGTCAAAACAGCCTCGAGTAGGGGTTCCCCTGAAACTGGTCTGTCCCTGGAACTACACAAACACAGTGCAAAGAAAGTGACCACCTCTGCATTCTTGGATCAATGTTTGCCTGTCTTATGAAGAAGAAAGACGCGTGAAATGAAACATGTGGACATACAGTTCCTTCCTTGGACGCTCGGTTGGGTCTGGGACTGACTCATTCGTGCATGCCCCATGTTCACGTTCCCCTTATCCACCCAAAAATTAACCAAAAATATGAGTTCCTGAAAGAGAGGGAAGGCCTCAGAACACTAAAGAGACACGGAGCAAATTCATTTCACCATCATCACTTGCATGGCCGGTGGATTTCCGTAGTACCCGTCCTGGATGGAAGGAACAGAAGAAAACTGCAAAGTGTAATACAATCAAAGACATAATCCTCAATACAAACAAAAGCAGATGTTAACGGTTTTACCCAAAAGGAAAGAAAAAAAACACACTCACTCCTTGAATAGGCTGTGGAGTAGGATAATAGACACCAACAGTTGCTGCTCGAGAGCCTAGTTCCTGCAAGTGAGTTGAAAAAAAACATAAATAAGAAACGAGGAAACCAAAATGATTTCAAGGACCTGAAAAAGGAACACCCATTTTCTCCATTTTACCGGCTCTTCCTCCATATCTGCTCGAGGAATGTAACAGTTCTCAAAGCTTGCTGCTCTGTAGCTAACGTGTTCCTGCTG